GTGAAAATATACATGTTCAGTATCCAATGGGGGAAGAGGCAATTCCCGTCGGTGTGTCTTTTTTATGTTTTGTTTTTTTTTTATAAAAAAACAAATCGAATAATAATAAGAAGCCATAATATATTGGCGCAACATTGAACAGCATTGATGGCTTGGTGGGGGGAAGTCCTGTGTTGGTTGCTGCTCCTAATTTTCATAGTATAATAAGCAGTATATTAAAATAAAAGAAAGTGGGCTCAGAGATTTGAGAGAGATAAAATGCCCATGGCCATTAGTTAATTATTAGTATAATAAGTGCCATGATGGCTTTGAGTGGGTGGGGGATTAAGAGATCAATTGTGATCTGTTCTGAAACGCCGGCAGAGATGGCAAAACCCAGGGATCTCCGCTGTCCAACCTGACTTATTTATGAATGATGCTCTTCCCAAAGGGCATTCAAGATGATGAATTGTGCTTCTCATCCCGTCGCATTGCCGTGCACGGTTGCCACATGTTCTATTCCGGTGAATTGAAATCCTCCATGGAGGATTGATCTTTACGGTTACAGCAGGAAGACTCCAAGTTTGGTCCGATTGTTCAAACTCGACTCCGGCGACCGTCCAGGAAAGTGGCGAAGATCTGTCGGCGCGCTCCGGCTGGAGATTTCTCTGCCATGCGGTTGTTTCGGACAATGCAATAACAACCGTCTAGAATTAGAGGAACAAGCCCTTTGATTTCAGCAGAGGAGAAACCCTCGCCTGGTTCTTGTCGTTCCTCTCGCCCGCAACGGGGTGTGAACTTATAGTTTTAGAGAGAGAGCTTTGAGAGAGACAGAGGCGGTCCTATGAGGATAGGGAAAGGAAAGCTGCGGGTGCATACTTCACTGAGTAAATGGCGGGAGGCGGATATCCCGCTACAGTAGAGGTCCGGCGTTAAATAGATTAGAGGATCCGGCGGGCGAACCAAGGCGAGGATTGAGCCGCCGGGCCCGCCAGTGGTGAAAGCGAAAAATTTAGTATAGTGCAAACCGGTTGCTTCTATATACCATGTTGAGAGAGGTTATGTATATGATTGTTATTGTTGATTGTTGTTGTTTGTATTTATTACAATTAACAAGGATTCTATTATATAGGAGTGTGTTTCGGGAGTAGGGGAGAGTAGGTGAAGTGGAGGTGGTAGTTGTGTAGTGGGTTAGGTTTAGTGGAGTAGGTGAGGTGGTGGTAGTGGTGTAGTGGGTTAGGTTTAGTGGAGTAGGTGAGGTGGTAGTGGTGGTAGGTTTATGGTAAATTCTAACAGTTTGACATGTCAAGACTTATAAGTCATAACTGATCATCTGCGATATATTTGCAGATCCTTGATGCAGAATAAACTGAGAAGTGGAACCACCCTAATTGTAGATCGCTATTCATTTTCTGGGGTGGCTTTTTCATCTGCCAAAGGACTTGATATTGAATGGTGTAAGGTGAAGACATGCTTCAAACTAATTTTAAGTGGGAATTTTTTATTTTTTATTTTTTTTTCTAGGTGCCATTTCTTCCTTTTTGGTAGTGAAAAATGAGTTGTTACACAGGCACCAGAGATGGGGTTGCTCGCTCCAGATTTGGTATTAGATCTTGACATACCACCAGAGGTAATTTGTTCTATTATCAAGTTTGTTGTTGAAGTTAAGGTACCATGACATCAAAGATCACAACCATGTATTGAACCTTGCAGATTGAGTAGTTTTCCACTCTCTTTCTCAACAAGTTCTGCTTGTCTGATGGCTAATTTAGTCCTTGATGATAAATTTAACTTCTTTTGTCATTGGTTGATGTTGTGTAAGGCACTTTAATTGGCTACATAGTTAGGGGACTCTTGGTCCAATATGTGATGATCCTTGGTCAATTTATCACTCCTTCCTCATTCCATATGGTAAAATATAAGATTACTGTTGATTGAGCTATTGAGGTCATCTATTTAAGACTGATTTTTGTGGTATCATATTATATAAATGAAGAGAGTCTATTTATTATGTAAAAAATTAATGTATTATTGATTGATCATATATTGATATCGATTACAATGATTCATGATTCCTATATATAGAAGAGGGTGAGTGTGTAGTAGGTAAGGAGTAGGTGAAATGGAGGTGGTAGTGGTGTAGTGGGTTAGGTTTAGTGGAGTAGGTGAGGTGGTAGTGGTGTAGTGGGTTAGGTTTAGTGGAGTAGGTTTAAGTGGGTGAAGTAGGTGGAGAGTAGGTGGATTTTAACACCTCCTAATATTTTAAAATTTGTTTATTTTACTATATTACCCTCATATCTATCAGTTCTCCTATTAAGTCATCCTTACAGTATATTTCAGAGTAAAATTTTATTTGGAATCATAGTAAACTTTACTCTAATTTAGAATAAAATTTTATTCTCAATCAGAGTAAAGTTTAAAGTAAAATTTTATATCGTTAAGCAAATCAACATGTTTTTAACCAAAGTAAAATTTTAGAGTAAAATTTACTATGATTCAAAGTAAAATTTATATCGTTAAGCAAATCAACATGTTTTTAACCAAAGTAAAATTTCAGAGTAAAATTTTACTTTTAATCATAGTAAATTTTACTTTGATTCAGAGTAAACTTTTACTCTGAAAGTACAATTTTACTATGATCTAAGGAGAGTATCCACTTTGAATCACACTAAGTGTCATGTATTAATAACCTTGCGTGTTTGGTTGTTGAGAAAAACACAGAAACATAACAAGGAAACCAAATATAGTCTTATCCTCACTGTTGCTTTGATGTTTAAATGATCAATTTCTCAGCTTTTCCCTCATTCTCTTGGGAACCAAACAGAAAATAACATCAAAATCAACAATCAACAAATACAGACAACACTTTGAAACATGTATATATATATTCACATGCAACCGATACACATGTAGATAGAGGAATATATATACACACGTATATATGTAGTATAGAATCAGATCTCCAAATCTCCTTCTCAAAACTTTATAAACATCAATGAAATAAGATTTAAGATTGGAATTTCAACAATCAGAAAAATAGAAGACCTTGATAAAATACGTCTTCCGGATTTTCTCATCAGAAGAGAGAGATCGGCGATGGCAAGATCTGCGAACTGAGATCGCTAACACACATACATACACACATATGTATCTATAGATCCAAATTTCTGTTGTGCGCTTCGTGATCCGATCAAAATCCTCCGATTAGTCGTCAGAAATGGAAGAGGAGGAGGCGTGATGCAGGATTTGGCTTCGGCTATGGCGAAGGAGGAGATCATGGATCTCAGCGACGGCAGAGGAGAATTTCGGTGAAGATGGTGAGAGAGATGAGGGACATGGAGAGGTTGTGGAGGGCCGAGGGGGAAGGGGCGGTGGCTGCGGCGGATGAGAAGAGAGAGGTGGAGGTGAAGGAAGAGAGAGAAAGTAATGTCGAAGGAGATGGTGGAAAGATTTAGTTGAGGGTATAATAGTCTGATAAAATATTTAAATACTAAATTTTGCCCTTTATACAAGACTTTATAATTATGAAGGGGTTTTGAAAGTATAATTTTTTTTCTTAGTCCTTTTAACAATAAAAGGAAGGTAAGAGGGGTTTATAGTCAAATTTCCCTATATAATTATAGATAATAATTTTTTACATTGCATTATACATAAGATCAAATAATGGTGAGTAGTCATTCTTTAGAAACTAGGTATTAGTTTAAGAGCTAGTAACATTCTCTTTACGTTTCCTTCAATAGGTCCTATAAAATTTCTTATTAAGAATGGATTAGAATCAATTGTGATCTGTTCTGAACGCCAGAATGGCAAGCCCAGGGATTGGTGTAACTGCTTAATGAATGATGCTTCCAAAGCATCAAGATATGAATTGTGCTTCTCATCCGTCCATGCCGTGCACGGTGCCACATTTGTATTCCGGTGAATGAAATCCTTGGAATGATCGACGATTACAGAGGAAGACTCCAAGTTGGTCCGAGTCAACTCACTCCGGCGACCGTCCGGAGCGGCGAGATCTGGCGGCGGCTCCGGCTGGAGATTCTCTGCCATGGCGTGTTCGGACAATGCAATAACAACCTCTAAATTTAGAGGAACAAGCCCTTGATTCAGCAGAGAGAAACCCTCGCCTGGTTCTTCTTTCCTCTCGGTGTGAACAAGTTTTAGAGAGAGAGAGAGAGAGAGGCGGTCCATGAGGAGAGGGAAAGAAAGCTGCGGGCTACTCACTGGTAAATGTGGCAGCGGTATGTGTAGAGGTCCGGCGAAATAGATTGAGGTCCGGCGGGCGACCAAGGCGAGGTTGCCGCCCGCCGGTGAAGCGAAAAATAATAAGTGCTTAACCTTGCTCTGATACCAAGTTGAAATTTATGTAATATTGATTGTTATTGATTGTTGTACAGTTGATATTACAAGGCTTCCTATTATATAGGAGAGGATTTGGGAGTAGGTGAGTGTGTGTGGTAGGTGTAGGAAAGTAGGTGAAGTAGGTGAGTGTGTGTGGTAGTGGAGGTGGTAGGTGGAGTGGGTTATGGTAAATTCTAACATCAACAATGGCGCAAGCCAAGGATAGAAACTAACCAACTTGAGTTTGAAGAGAGGAACAAAACAAGAAAATACATTTACTTACTTAGGCTTGCCATTAGGGGCTAGTCCAAGGAGATTGCAAAGTTGGAAACCTGTAGTTGATAAGTTTAAGTCTAAGTTAGCAGGGTGGAAAGGGAGGTTGCTATCGTTCGGTGGAAGATTAACTTTAATAAAATTTGTGTTATCAAGTTTGCCATTGTTTTATCTATCTTTGTTTAAAATGCCAGAGGGAGTGGCAAAGGTGATTGATAAGGTTCAGGCTACTTTTTTGTGGGGAGGTTCAAATTTAGGTCAGAAGATCCATTTGGTGAAGTGGGAGGAGGTTACTAAAAGTAAGGATCATGGAGGGTTGGGAGTAAAGAGGCTTAGAGATGTTAATGATTGTTTGCTTTCCAAGTGGTGGTGGAGGTTTGCGAATGAAGATAAGGCCTTGTGGAAAAGAGTAATATGTTCCAAGTATCCAATGTCTGGTGGCAGATGGTTCCCATTTGTGGAGAATTCGGGCAGATTGTCAAGGGTTTGGTGTGATATTCTTGGAGTAGCTGATTGCAACCCCAATCTCAGGAACTTCTATTTTTCAAATGTGGAATTTGTTATTGGAAATGGGAATAGGATTGGGTTTTGAGAGGACAAGTGGCTGGATAATCAATGCTTAAAAGAGTCTTTTACTAGATTGTTTGGTTTGGTTTCAAATTGCAATATTTCATTGCGAGAAATGTTGGTACAAAGGTGTGCTTCTGTAGAGTGGTGTTTCCAGTTTAGAAGACCTCTGAGGGAGTGGGAAATGGCTGAGGTGGGAGCACTCATCTCAAAACTTAATTCTACTCCGGTTGTTCTCACCAAAGTTGATGATTGCCTGAAATGGAAAGCTTCTCCTTCTGGACAGTTTAGTGTGGCTTCGGTATATAAAAGACAGAAGGCTGGAGTTGTCTCAGTTGCTCTGTCTATTATTTGGAAAACTGTCTCTCCTCCAAAAGCTCAATTTTTTGGATGGCTAGCCTGGAATGGGAGAATTCAATTAGCAGAATTTTCACAAAGGATTGGGGTGATTAGTGCAGATGCTAGTACTTTATGTGTGCTTTGTAATTCTGAAGGGGAGTTGTTGAATCATGTGATATTGTGGTGCCCAGTGGTGTGGAGATTATGGTCACATATTGTAGAGTGGTGGGGTCTTCAGTGGGTAGTGCCTGGTTCAGTTGAGGGGTTGTGTTATCATATTATATAAATGAAGAGTCTATTTATTAGTTTCCTTTGTGTGTGCACATATGTGTCCACCAAGTAAAACAGCAGCCAGGGTAACTGAAAAGTCCTTTTGAAATTGCCAGAAAGCGGCTGAAAGAGGAGGCTATGGAGGGGAGAGATACGAGCAGCTTGAGTTTCAAAGAAAAGTTGCCCGCTCATATCAGATACTCCATGATGCCTCATGGAAGGTAACATATTTTTAATAGCTCTTTTATTGTTTTGTTTTCCAGTGCCAATGAAAATGGTCTGGTGGTGTTACTCTGACGAGACTATGTACACATTCCTTGTGATGTCATCCTTTGGGTCTCACCTCAGAGTTTATCACAACCTTTTAGCTTTAACATCAAGTCTTGCAGTATATTTTCAAAATGCTTTTTGGTTTTCATATGGAATGATAGTGAGATGGGGGAAAAGAAAAAACTGAAGGCATTAAATGTTAATACCGACAAAACTTGAACAGTGATCCATTTATCTTTTTATCATTTTTTAGCATAACAAAAAAAAAAAAAAATGGTCTTTTGTTTTTAAAGTCAAGATTGGTGAATGTGTCTCGTTTTTTAAGGCTCCATTTTTTGTGGATGTCTTGCAGACCATAGATGCCTACCTCCCCATTAAAGATGTTGAGAAACAGTTACAGGAAGTGGTACTGGATTGTGTGACGACATGCCAAAAGGGGAAACCCCTCTCACAGCTCTGGTCAAGTTGAGATTGATTCCCTATAAAGGAATGGGATAACTTAAATGTTGACAATTAAGATTGTAAACAATAGTTCAGTCCGGTTTATTGTGAAGACAAATGCTTTTGATCCTCTCTGCCATGTTTTTATAACCATATTTAGCTTTTTTGACACAACTTATAGATTGGTATATTTGTTCAGTATATTTTTGTTTTTTATTCAATTTTGAGTCCTTTTTTATTTATTTATTTATTTTTATTTTTTTATAGATCCGCTTAGATTAGATGATTTTATATTTTTAACAAAATCAACTAAAAATGAAAATAAACCAAATTTTGAAGGAAAAAACAAAAAAAAAAAACTTTAACAAGTGGCTTATTTTATTTTCAATGGACTTCTTTAAAACCGAGCTAAAAGTAAAAAAAACTAATACTTGAAAACAAAATATAAATTAACCTATAAATCATAGCCAAAAAAAATTCCAAAATTTTTGAAGGTGGAACAATATTTAAGCAGGTTCTAGGAGCGATGATTTTTTTTAATAATTTTTATTTATTTATTTTAATAAAAAAATCGTGCTTGGTAAAAAAAATTTGAAAAAAAAAACTCTTTTGTTAGTGAAAAAGTTGAATATATCCTTAACTTTTTTTAAATAAAAACTAAGGTATCATAGATCTTGAATTGAAACTAAAATCAATATCCATTTATAAGCAAATAGATTTATTTTTTTTTATTTAGTCAAACTGGTTTTTATTTTTTATTTTTTCAGAGATGGCCAGCATTACCGTTCAATAAGACTACACCAAGCTCTCTCAACTCTTGTTCCCCATACATAGACACACCAACAAGAAACAAAAAGTTCTAACTCAATCTTATTTCCGCAACTACTATGAAAATTTTGCTTTCCTAATTTCTTATTTCCAATCAAACAATATTCCAAACAGTCGAAAAGAAAAGCGGCAAACAAGGCCAAGAGGACTTCACTTGCACACACAGCAACTCAATTCATGGAAATTGTTCAAAGCTCCACTCTTATTTTCACCACCACCAACCACAACAATGATCAATCTAAAAATGATAGGATCAACCAAATACATACTGGAAGCTATCCAGGAAAATTTTGCATTCAACAACTATTCTAAACTAGTTCAAAATTCCAAAAGAACAACACATGTTTATACGAGTCGCTTATTTCTCCCTAAATTGAAAACTTAACTCTTTGGGTCACCCACATTACCAATGGACAAGTTGAACAAATTCTTCACAGCAGAAAAACATAATTGGCTTTATAAAATAATTATAATTATTGCCAATTCAAGTCCTCCCACAAGAGGATATATCTAGTTGACGACATCGAGCACCAACTTACGAGACTTGAGAACAGACCACCTCATGCGCCTGTAATAAGCAGCTTGAAGCAATGCCAATGACAGTACAAATATCCACTTGAATCCCATCTGCATTAAGAGAAGTACACGCATGAGAAATTAACTTACCTCCTAATGTAATGTCGTGTGATAATATTGAAGCCAACATACCAGTTTTCTCTATTACATTTCTGGTTCTGCAGCCCATGACAAAAATGTCACAACATCTTTTCCCATCTATACCAATATTAGAATATGAGCTTAACTGTCTCATATGATTTACGATAATAAGCACAACGATATAAAAGTACGAGAGAAACCAACCTGAGATTCCGTTGCAGGGGAAACATCTTCATACTCAACAGCACCATCAATAAGCATTTTAGGCATAGCAATGGCTCCCCCAGGAAAGTAAGGATTATAATGCAACCCTTCTCGGATCTACAATACCATTACAACTTGGCTGATTATGGAAAGAAACGTTACCCAAATTTACAGAAAAAACAATTTCAAAATGTAAGCAACCTTGTGGGGGTTAACCCTATTGTGTATTATCCTAACTTTCACAATTAATAAAAAAAAAATATATAACCACCCAAATATAAGTTAATCGGGAAATAAGTGAAACAGTATGAACACAGGCAATTCTTTTCACCAACAATCCTTGAAACACATGGGAGTGTTCTACCAAATAGAACAGATGGGGGGTGTATTATGCCTCTAATGAAAGCTTCTGCTTAAGCATACCTTTGAATCTGCTTATTCACCACGAAAGTCTACTTTTAATGCACCAAATCTAAAAAGTGAAATGCACCAACTACTAATGTCTAACAGAATATCAATGCAGACCCCAAAAAAATAAAAAAACACTACTTATAGATGGCGAAAGCTCCAATGCTATCATGATATAAATCTCTCAGGAACACAACAATGACATCCATCTGTAAGTGACATGAATTAATTTGCATAAATGACAGTATCAGCACTCCACATGATGCAGAAAAGGCTAAACTACCTACCACCCCCCAGACCTCAAACAATGAATAAGAATAATAAGAAGAAGCAGAGGACAAAGACAAAGACAAAGACAGTTCCCTACATGCAAAACTACGACCAGCACAAACCATTACAAATTTATGACCATTCTTTGGGTGCTGCTATTGCCACAGCAGCAGAGGCTACTAAGCCTTCAAGACAAAAGTTCTAAAATCTGGCAATAGTTGCATTCTTCTTTTTCTATTATTTTTATTTCATTATTACTTTCTGGGTATCAATTCATTAACCAAAGTGAATATCATTATAGAGCATCTACATGATGGCAAACTATAAAATTCTCCAAATGTGAACATACAAAACCATCATTGATCATACTACAAGTTCAAGAAGAAAGTTGCAGAAGAGACTACAAATCAGAACTTACTGAAACACCAGCAGGAGGATCATGGTAACCAGTTAGAAGAGCAAATACATAGTTCTGACCATTGTGACGAGCCTGAAACGCCAAATAGTAAGAAACTGTAGAGATAGATAAATAACAAAAAAAAACCTTGAAATGAAGAAATAGTAAGAAACTGTAGAGATAGATAAATAACAAAAAAAAACCTTGAAATGAAGAAATAGTAAGAAACTGTAGAGATAGATAAATAACAAAAAAAAACCTTGAAATGAAGAAATAGTAAGAAACTGTAGAGATAGATAAATAACAAAAAAAAACCTTGAAATGAAGAAATAGTAAGAAACTGTAGAGATAGATAAATAACAAAAAAAAACCTTGAAATGAAGAAATAGTAAGAAACTGTAGAGATAGATAAATAACAAAAAAAAACCTTGAAATGAAGAAATAGTAAGAAACTGTAGAGATAGATAAATAACAAAAAAAAACCTTGAAATGAAGAAATAGTAAGAAACTGTAGAGATAGATAAATAACAAAAAAAAACCACTAATATGTGTTGAATAAGCCTGTAAGATGAGTATCAACTAAGAAGAAGCACATTTTTGACAAACATGATCAAAACAGAATTCAAGCTTCTTCTCTGGAACCTCCCCAAGATACTGTAATCATCTGCCATAATGTTACACAGATCTCAAAAAAGTGATGTAGCATGTTGGACATGCTAAAAGGATATAGACACTTCACCTAACCCTGAAGTGCAGGAGAACATTAAATTAGGCACTCCCATATCTCATCAGCCCCCCTCCCTAATGCCTAAGGCAGATCCACACATAACCGCAAACTTACCTAGGCATAAGCATCACAAGCATTCTCGCCCATGCATCACATCACAATATATATATAGCATAACATATCTCAACATGGCATATCTCATAATATACCCATGCATCATATTTATCTATTTACGGAGAAAGAGGAAACTACGTACCCTGTTTCCTTAAAAGAAAACTCCTTTAGTCTTCTAGCCAACTAAATTTCAGTAGCTGCAGCTCCAGGTACTATACAACTGTCCCTGCACATTGCCTAGCACAAAGATGCATAAAGCCACATTCAGATTAGCTTCTTAAGGTCCAGTAGAAACTGATGCAATACTTTTTATAAAGACCACAGTGCATACAGAGTTTCCACTTTCTTCATTTCTCACAATGGTGACCTATTATATATTAGATATAAAGATCATGTTGGGGAAGAAGAAGATGAAGAAACGTAAGGAAAAAGCCCAAAAAAATAAAACCAAAAGCAGCTTGATCATACCCTAACACCACCAATTTCCTCCACAGACACAGAATCAATATACCCCAAATCACAATGATAGAATTCCACATCACCTTAATGAAATATAAAATGTCATGGAATATTTTGGTTGCACAATGCCTTAGTTTCTACTGATTTTTTTTTTTTAAATTATAAAAGCTTGCCTAAATTGCTCACCTTACCACATTTTGCAGCAGAGTTTCTATTTTCTGATTGGTTTCCTTCAAAAGACATGAGATATAGGACTGCATGATAAAGAATTTAACCAACTAGAAATATTGACACGTTCCTTGATTTTGTATAGTTAAAAGGAGTTGTCATTTCCAACTCTTCAACATTTGGTTTGAAATCACTTACATCTTTAGTACTGCTTTGCTGCTCATGTCCTCATCATTGAAAATCGAAAACCAAGAAACATGATGAATCACATTGAATTAAAATTTATTAAAAACTAAGAACAACTTCTTTGTTTATTAATGCCTTAATAGTTATAGGTGAAGGAAAAATCAATACCTAGACAGGGTTCAAATTAGATTATGAGATTTATCGGGAAAACCAAGATCAAACCTAAACTAACATTGAAAAATTAGACTACGAGATTTATTGGGAAGTTACTCAGTGTTGCTGCAAAACCAACATTGACAATGTAGTTTTGCAATAATGTCTTCATGTTCTGTGTATAATAAGGACATGCAAAGATATTACAAGAATCTAAATGGAAATTAATTTACCTGTCATTGCCCGATTTAAATGCATTTGCATCATTCCCTAGTTCATCTTCTAAACCTTCAGATTGCAAGGTGGCAAGCCTATTAGTCAAGTACATTTGAGCCATATCTAAGTCATCATCCAGTAGATGTTCAAACTCATCCCTCACCTATAAAATATATGGCATAATATCATTATACTGGATCAATTAGCTACTTTTCCGAACAAGAACAAATTTTTTTATAGAAAAAGGAAAAAGAAAAGAAAAATCCCTTATCAAGAATTAATATGATGAAATGGAAAGCAATTAATGACACTAAAAAGTGATGAGCATTAAAGAAGTCAATGAGATAATACTATACCTTCTGCACATGCCCAGACAGAGCAACCAAACGACCTTTTATGACGCTCACGTGTTTGAGATTATGTGTACTGGTTTTAGCTGATAACTCATCTAAAGCTGGATATGCCTTTTCTTCTAATGTGGAAGTCTGGATAAATACACCAACATGGATTTGTAAAAATTACATCTCTAAAGAAACTGAAATTAGACCACTTTGATGACATAGTTAAGCATTAACTAAAAACTAAAAACTCAACTTCTAGTGAAACATAATTTGTGAAAAAAGAAAAAGAAAAAAGGTGAATGCATTCAAAGACCAAGCATGCTTCAACGGTATCTCAGTAAAAGGTCCACAACCAACAAGAAGATTGATTCACGGCATTTGATGCATGATTTACATTATTCAAAAGATTTAAATCTATAGTTCTATCTGTTGATAAGATAGAGATAAGAACGACAGGCTGGAAAAGTTCAAGAAACACCAGTACTAGTGCTGATTGAAGGATGTTAGCACAAGTTTAAGAGTGAATAGGGAAAGTGTCAAAGGTTTTTTTTTTTTTTCACCCAACAGGTAGAAGAAGCTATTTGGATTTTTCTAGTGAAATTATAATTCTCTGTCTTTCTTAATTCTGTTAATTGACTTGGCCAGCTAAACTAATTGGCAAATTCAGCTTTTCCCATAAAGGGCATATTAACTCGCTTTTTGATGGATAAATTGAACACATGAAAGGTGTCGAAGACCTATAAAGTTGTGCAATGCCAAATTATGGTTTAAACATCTGAGGATGTTGCTGCAAGATTATGGGGTAGTTAATGGTGTCATAAATTCATCTAAGATACACAAAAAATCAGGGTGCTTATATATTTCATGATGTACACAGAAAATATAAAGAAAAACATAAATAAGAAGTATAATAAACTACCATCACGTCCATGGATTTTGTTATTTGAAATGGGTGAGAAATCCCATTTTGAAAATACGAGACATGATGTAAATGCAGTTTCTTACCCAATGAAAGCTTGATCAAAACTGTCAATTTCCCTAAAACTGATATGCTAGTTTTTTTTTATCATAGCTCAAGTGAAGTAGAAATACAAAGCAAAAGCATTAGGACATATATATATTAATAGTCATACCTTAGATTCAAGGCCCCTGCAGACAGATTCTAGGCAAATCTCAAAAGCTCTGAACTCAAATGGCAACGGCTTTGAGTTCCCCCTACTTGACCCTTCATCTAGTGATTTAGGACTACTATCACTTGCCTCCAATGGCGTATTAGAGGGTGATTGTTTCATAGCTTTATCACTTCCCATGGTGGCCTTCACACAGCAACACAATCAATCATACACCTCTTTTTAAATTATATCAATCGCACGGTTGACAAAGAAGATAACAAACTACAAAATTCACTTTGACAAGCGCACTAATGACAGGATACAACCAATTCCTACATAAAGATTCATTGAATCAAACAGGATCAGGATGGGAAGGACCAATAGAAAGTTTGGAAGGGCACTGGACTCAAATTAGAAAAGGAAAAATTAAAAGAATTAAAAGTCATCTGCAATAGTTTCCATCAGTTCAAACCAACAATCAAGGCCGAAACTAATACCCAAGGTAGATCTATTAAGACATTCTAAAAGAGACATAAAACTCACATAGTCAGTAAATGTTTCTACGGTCGTGCCACCTTCACCTTCTTCTCATTCCACTTCAACGACTACTTAAGAGGTTTTGACATAGGAAAAGGAATTAATACTCAAGCACTTTTGCGTAATACGCAAATTTATCTCAGTTCGCACACTATTTTCCATTAAAAAGTTGCCAGCAAGGCCTGAAGAAGCACTACCAGCAATGCCAGTGGAGTCTGTGGCTTTCTCCAAAGTACTTCCAGCAGCTAAACTCACCAAACAAAAGAATGGAATAGTTTCCTTCTAATTCCAATTAGTTCTAAACACAAACACATACACACACACACACACACAAAAGGAATTCCTTAGAAACGTTTTCTTTTCCTTTCCCATTTTGAAATCTACAATTCTAAAAAGATTTGGTCCCAAACACAATGTTAAGAGCCTAGAGGTAGAAAAAGAAGAAAGTTGGGAGGAAAGGCTGACGAAATCATATATATGGTCTTGACCATCACCACAAAAATAAAATAAAATCACATATAGAGCCCTAGTCATCTAAGAGGTGGTGTAATTACACATTCCAAAATAAGAATGTAATCACAAAGTGAATAGTAGCTACTAGCTTCAAAGGACCTCTCGTGAGTTCCTGCCTTCGTACACATCACCAGCACAGGATTTTTCCATTGCCTCAGCAGCACTCTTGCAGTGAACTTTAGAAGACAAGGCAAGCTAAGAGTTGGTTAAACCTAGCTGAGCTGAATATAGAGTACACACAACTAGGCCTCATAGTATCAACCATTTTAAGTCGTTTAAGTTTTAGCTATTGCTTGCTTCCAAATTCATTTAGTTTATGTCCCAAGTTTCCTGGTTTCCCAAACTTGAGTCTACACGGGGTCATCTATATAAGCTATGAAACACGGGTACTCCAAAAATGATGCCGTATAAGTATCGGTTACTTACCAAGTGCGGGTACACGTACCGATACAGCGGTACACGTACCGAGTACGCCAAATACATGCCGGGTACAATAAATACATTTGGGTACGTCATGAGTATAGCAAAATATATATATATATATATATTATTTTTAACGTCTGCTAGAATTTATTGTAGCTTTTATTATTCTTTTTTCAATTTTGAAAATATCAAGTAATTTATTTCTAACACCCTTTATCCATGAGTCATGATTTTACTCTCTTTTGCATCTTGTTTTAGACCTCGAGATCTTCGAGTTGTTCTTCGGTCCTATCATCGATCCAGGCATTGTCTTTGTGTTTAGAGTCTTCGTCCTCGACGGGCGTAAAAGATGGGGGCTTGAATGCAAGGGGCTTCGGAGGAAGGTCTCCCAATTTTCTCTGAATATCGTCCCATTGAGTCGAAACTCCTTCCACGTCCTTGTACACGAAGTGATAGTTCGCCATTTTTGAATCTCCGATCAACCCTAAAATAAAAAAATTCACGGTTCCGGTTACCGCAACTGTTACACTACGGCCTTTACACCCCGCAACCGCAACCGCGTTACCGCCACCGTTACAGCGACTGCAACCGCTTTTCAGAACCTTGCCTATAATTATTCGGTCCGTTTACGATCCTGATAAGTGGGCTATAGGCCCACAATTATTCGTCCCCGTTTACGACCAGTTCTTGGTTCATAACCATCCCACTCAGGGCATAGTGTTTTAACGGTGCAAGGATCCTTTGTGCTCAAATAATTCTATTCCCTATTTCAATTCATTCACACTCACTCGATATGTCTTGAGATTTTTACATTTTAAAATTTTCATATAATCCAATGGTTGTAAGTGAATTGGGATAGAAGACATGATTATTTGAGAATAGAGGATTGTTGTAGATTTTAACGAATTACAAGGGAAAGATTTTGAAGGATGGGTTGAATCATTCAAGTGTTTTGACAAAAAACTTGGTGATGGAAATATGTGATACAAACTGTCCCATCTATGTGGAAAGCACAAATGTTTGCTACCAACTTTATTTTCTTTTAAGTCGTGATTAAATAATAAATGTCACTTGTCATATAGGTCCTTGGGAGGTTAGCATCTCAAATATCTACTATGATTCAAGGCAAGGATAAACCAACATACGCACCTAATCGTGATGATGGGGATATGTGCATTGTGCTCAATGCGAAGGATATTTGTGTCACAGGAAGGAAACTTACGGACAAGTTTTATCGCTGGCATACTGGGCAAGTAACCAATTTTCTAGTGCTGACTTCTTATTGCATGAAAATGAAATATTTCTGTATGGTTTTATTACCCCATTCAAATTTATAATAAAAATGTGTTAAGAATCATAAGACTGTATTTTGGTGCTGTGGAAATCTGCTATGACTTTCTCTTAGCAAGTTCTAATACATAGATTGATTTAAAAGGCGGACTAGTCAAATGCTGAAAAAACATTAGTAGATGACTGTCATAGTATGACATCATTTATGCAGTTAACCAAATGTCCCAACTTTATGTATTTTGTGTGTAATATTTCTATCTTAAAAATGAACTATTTTGGCTCATAGGTACATTGGCCACCTCAAGGAAAGAAGTTTAAAAGATCAGCTAGCAAAGGATCCTACAGAAGCAAGGTTTTAAAAACCGGACCGATGAACGAACCGGAAAAATGATCGGGTGAACGGGTCACCGGTTCAACCGGTGGGTTGAACCGGATCGAACCGTGACATCATAATGATGTCATAAATAATTTTTTTAAAAATATAAATTAATAATTTAAATATTAAATTTTCGATTTTTTTAAAAAAAAATCTTAAATATTTTTAGTGATATTTTTCTATACTTAAAAAAAAAAAATTCAATCATAGCCAATCTATATAAAGAGTCGAAATATTATGTATCTACATATAATTTTCAATTGTAAATTATTTTTTATTAACATAGTGTTTGATTAAATGAAAGAATTTTAGATACTCTATATAAAGAGTCAAACTATTATGTATCTACATATAATTTTCAACTGTAAATTGTTTTTTATTAACATAGTGTTTGATTAAATGAAAGAATTTTAGATACTAAATGAAATGACTATTTTTCATTGTATCTATCTACACCAACAATTAATTTAGTGCATATAAACAGGTGTTGGAGGAGTTAAATTAATTATTTGGTTTTGGTAGAGAGTTGATTAATCACAACAGTGTGCATCGTTTGCCTGAAAGTTGATTACTCCTTCCGTCCCAAAATATTAGTCTCTTATTCCATTTTTCATTGTCCCAAAATATTAGTCCCTCTTCAAAAATCAAGTACAAAAATAATACAAATTTCCTATTTTGTCCTCCTTTTAAATTAATAAACAATATAAAAAGTACAATTATGACATTGATATTCCCAAAAAATGTACTATCAAAAGGATAATTTTGGAAAATTAACTTTTTTCATCTTTTCTCACCTCACAATCCAAAACTAAAAGATTGAGAGCTGAAGTTAAACAGATTCGCAGATTCTCCAGAAGAGAGAAGATGCAAAGAACAAATGAAATGATTATTTTTCATTGTATCTATCTACACCAACAATTAATTTAGTGCATATAAACAGGGGTTGGAGGAGTTAAATTAATTATTTGGTTTTGGTAGAGAGTTGATTAATCACAACAGTGTGCATCGTTTGCCTGAAAGTTGATTAATAATAATTATTTGGTTTTGCCCGAAAGCTTAACATCACAGATTCACAGTGTGCATAATTCCTAAACAGAGCCTTCTTCAAGTGTTTTATTATTATTATCGAAAGTTGATTTCTAAACAGAGCCTTCTTCTTCTCCTCTCTAAAAAAAAAAAAAAGACAGAGCCTTCTTCAAGTGTAGACCCAAGTGTTTTATTATTATAATTTTTTTTTTTATCAAAAGTTGATTTCTAAACAGAGCCTTCTTCTTCTCCTCTCTAAAAAAAAAAGACAGAGCCTTCTTCAAGTGTAGACAGATCGGAGATTCAAGTGTTGATTTTGATTCAAGTGTAGACCCAAAATTTCTAAAAAATAAAGAAAAAGATCAAAGATCCATCAAAATAATACCTGGGGAGGCTGGAAATTGATTCGTTAATGGCGGAAAAAAATAGAGAAATTGATGTCGTCCTGGAGGCTTGTAACGGTGCGAATCTGTGTGTAATTTGAGAAATTGATTCGTTAATGGCGGAAAAAAATAGAGAGACAGATCGGCTGCTCTTAAAAGAGGAAGAGATACCTGTGCTGTGTGAAGAAGTGAAGAAGCCCTAGCCGCTGCTCTCTGAATCTGAAGATCAACAAACAAAAATAAAGCTAGATCAGAAAAAATAAATAAATAAATTATATATATACAAGCAAACCGTCCCAGTTCGATCAACCCGTGAACGAGTCAACCGGTTCACCGGTTTAACCGTGGGTTTCACCGGTTTTCAATAAATACCCCGATTTTTACACTTGGCCGATTTAAGAGGGTCAACCGGACCGGAACCTGGTCCGGTCACCGGTTCAACCGGTTGAACCGGCCGGTCCGGTCCGGGTTTCAAAACCTTATACAGAAGTTATTCGCAAAGCTGTCCTACGCATGCTTCCAAGAAACAAATTGCGTGATGTAAGTGCTATTGCAACCTCTTTCCACTGAATTAATTAAAGCCATTTGAAATTTCGGATTTAGTTTTTCTTTCAACTAATTGGATTTTGTTTTGTTACTTTCTTGACCTCTCAAGCTGCCTTTATAGAATTAGGAATGGCAACGGGGCGGGGCCGGGCCGGGGATCACACTCCCCGTCCCCGATCCTCAAATTTTCCCCGACCCCAGCCCCGATCCCCGACGGGAACTCATAGCCCGGTCCCATCCCCGCCCCCGATCGGGGATCGGGGATCCCCGACCCTGAAAAATCCACGATTTTTTTTTTTATCTATAAAAATCTGTAAACATAGATTAACTGAAAAATCCCCGATTTTTTTTTTTTATCTATAAAAATCTGTAAACATAGATTAAAATATATTTGAGACGATGAAGAAAATTAATATGGATTAAAATATATTTGTAAACCTGTAGCATTGCCATACAAAATAACCTGTAGCAATTTTAAAATACATTTGTCCAGCAGCATATATACAATCTGTAAACCTGTAACATTGCAATATATACAATCTGTCCAGCAGCATCTGTACATGTTTAAAAAATCCTATCACACACAACTTTCATCCTATCACAAAGAACTTAAAAAATTCAACATAATCTGCCAATATATACAATCTGTCCAGCAGCCCACACGCACAAGAAAATTCAACAAGTAGCAAAGATAATAATTAATCCCAAGCACAACCCGCAAGGGATAGGCTACCCAAAACTTGAAATTAAAAATAAAAAAATTCCCTTAAAGAACCTGTACTTTCAACTCTTACAGCCTGTAGAGAGGGAAAAAAACATTTATAGAATGCACATTCAGAGCCCAACAACCTGTACTTTAAGCTCCCCTAAAAGAATTGACATAATATTGGAAATATCATATATACTTCGGCACAACACAAAACCTAGAACTCAACAATATTTAGACACACTTCAGCGCAAACATCCCATTCTATATCAAGTAAATTTGTTATTACCATAATACGCAAGTTGTCCAAGTATCATAAATATAAAATGTCAAAACCATATATTCATTACCGCATATGGGAGAATAGAGGATAATTGCATGGCCAAAAAGTTGCCTCACAGAACCAAGTAAACTAATGTCAAAACAGAGTGATATTAAGAATGCATAATGAAATGTAAAACGTAAAATAATTCAGCATACCCGTTCTCATTCTGCAGACATGGTCATGGCCAAAACTGAAAGTACGTCTGCTAGTAAATATTGTGTTAAAAGGAAAATGTGTACTCATGTTATCAATGGATTTTTTTTATACTAGGAAAAAGGTTTTAGAATTAAATTTATCGATTTGTCTTTTAAATTAGTCCTATTTGATCAACTTAATTGCCAAAAGAGGATAGAATGTAACATAAGGGTAAAACTGAATCAATTTCAGAAGTTAGAGAATTATTTGAATGAAATTAACAAATTCACAAATTTCAACTTTGAAATTTATTTCTTAAAAGAAGTGAATGATGTAAATTTAAAATTGATAAAAAATGTGAGTCAGGTTAGAATAACTGTGGTCCTACATATCATTTTCTTAGTAATTTTTCTACTATTAGAATTGTTGTTCTCTTGATAAGTAATACATAATCAAAATAACATCAAAATAATAATCACAACAGGTTATGACTAACAAATTAATCTTCAAAATTAACAAATTAACAAATTTCAACTTTGAAATTTATTTCTTAAAAGAAGTGAATGATGTAAATTTAAAATTGATAAAAAATGTGAGTCAGGTTAGAATAACTGTGGTCCTACATATCATTTTCTTAGTAATTTTTCTACTATTAGAATTGTTGTTCTCTTGATAAGTAATACATAATCAAAATAACATCAAAATAATAATCACAACAGGTTATGACTAACAAATTAACACCATCATCTTCAACATCAGAAATATATAAAATAATTCCTACACACAGAAAAATTTGTTGAAATTTGTTAACATCATCAAATTAACAGATATCTTCAACATCATCATCTTCAATAATGAACAATGAACAATAATTAGGGGAGATCCATATACTCATATTCAGATAAATTTAGAACAATGAACAATAATTAGGGGAGATCCATGGGGTGCTCACGAAGTGACCTTCCCCAATCGTACCCAAGTTCCCGAGCCGAGGCAACTTTGGTGATGACGGACACGTGGCCTTAGGCACGAGTTAGGGTTTCCTAAATTCCCCCAAAATAAAATATTTAGGTGGCGACTCTGTATCTAGCAAAGCCGTCCATGTTTGGCACTTCTTTCTAAAAATCAGTTTTTCAAAACGATTTGCTGGATTTGGACTCTTTGATGATTCATCAGTCTTGCATTGCACTCCGCGAGATTAGATACAGGACCATGACATTGAGTCTGAACTGTAGTGAGCCCCAAATGAACAAAACGGGATTCCCTCCCAGGACATTCGGGGACGTCTACACAAACAGAGGCAAGTTGGGGCATCGCGACGAATTTCCGAACGAGCCGACCGGGCATGCATACACTCCTCATCCCGAGGACCTCTCTTTACCGCTCTCCTTTGCTAGTTTATGCTTTGGTTCTGTGTTTAAGTAGTTAGTGCGTTTAGCTGCTTATTTTGTATTGTAATAACTTAATTAGCTAACTTGTTAGTTAATTACTTTTATGATGTAATAATTAGTTTAATTAGCTTAGATTAGCTAGTTAGCTCCTTATTCAGACCCTCCGTCGAGAGGGCCAACTGTTGTAATAAGCGTGCGTGTGTGTGATGCATGTCTTCCAACCCCCATTTCTTTCTTCTTTTTACTTAACCGCTTACGATGGTTAGTTTTAGGGCATATTTTGTTTAGCATACCTTATGCTTCGCATGCATGCATTCATTCATCTATTTTGCATGCACCGGGCTCGGCGCATCATACTAATTGCATTGTATTTCAATACATTTACTTGAATACGTGTTCAACCGCATGTTATCAAGTTGCATTTCATATGCCATCTTAGAATGGCCGAGCCTGTTTTAGTTGAATTTTTGCATGTGTTGCATTAGCCATCTTAACATGAACTAGAATCATACATGATTTCTAACTAATTCTCTGTTTTGGCTCGGGGTACACTGTGAGTGTTTACGCTTTAGCATCCTTGCATGAGTGTGAGTGTTGCCATGTTTAGCATGCTTGCCATGAGGCTAACTACTTAAGTGATTAACTGCTTGAATGCCTGTAGGTGAAGCTTGGATCGCTTGAATTGGAACAATTTATTGAAATCCGCGACTTAGCCTACTTGCGAGTAGCAAACTTAAACCGTTTTCAAACAAAGGAACATGAAATGTTTTGTTCCAACTTAGGCGATCTAGTCTATACTTGTATGCTGCACGCATCACATAGTAATTCTAGGTTAATAACCGGAATAAGAACACATGTGTTTTCAAAAATAATGTGTCATGTAAGGAAAGGCCGATCATTGATCGGGCGAGTGGGGGTGCTCATTGCATGACCTTCCCCTTTCGTACCCAAGTTCCCGAGCTGAGGCAACTTTGGTGATGACGGATACGTGGCCTTAGGCACGAGTCAGGGTTTCCTAAATTTTCCAAAAATAAAATATTTAGGTGGGGATTCTGTATCTGGCAAAGCTGTCCATGTTTGGCACTTCTTTATAAAATCAGTTTTCCAAAACGATTTGCCGGATTTGGACTCTTTGGTGCTTTATCAATCTTGCATTGCACTTTGTGAGATTAGATTCAGAACTGTGACACGAGTCCGAACTGTAGTAGCTAAAGAACAAAACGATTTTGTGCCCTCGTGGCACGGAGAGCGGAGTTCTTGGGCGGTCTACAGTTTCTGGCGACTCTGCTGGGGATTTAAAGAACTTGACTCGAACTCATGATATCTTGTTTTGACTATACTTATGTGTTTCTTTGCATTGCATTTGCATTGGTGCACCTGAGACACAGTGTTTGCTGTATGCTATTCCTGAACAGTTTGCCGGAGGCTCGCTTTGAGGATCGTGCCATAAGGCTAACCGGTTGCGAGCTTTGCCACGACGGGAACACAAACCTCAGTTTTTACCGGGGCACCCTTTTTGACCATTCGACCTAGTGCATATCAGAATCCATAGTGACTATTCCAATCTAGGACAGGTTGCTTACCCGAATATAGGTTGTTTGAAACTGCTGTGTGCGTAGTGAAACCCTAGATCCTGACAAAATAGGACAAGGAAACCCTACCCCTCTTTAGGGGTGTTTTGGCTCTCACTTGCTTGCTATGTGATTTTAGAGTGTGCCTCTACAGGAATACATGTATCAGTTTGCAAGTCTGGGTATCAAGCCTGAGGGCATCAGTATTTGGGAAATCAGTTTTACTTGAGGGTACCAGATTTGGGGCAACGATTTTGGGTACAGTGATCAGTGTTGAGAACAGTGTGTTCGGCTTACAAATGCCAACTGTGTGATGTCTTAATTTAAGCCGTTATGCTGTCCATTTTTCTATTCATTGTTTCCTTATTATGCTTTGTTTATCTTTTTGCAAGGTAGTTTAGCACTATTACTTCCGACCAGGCAGATATTCCCCGAGCACTCTGGGTCAGAGGTCGAAGACTTCAAACAAATGAACATGAAATGTTTTGTTCCAACTTAGGCGATCTAGTCTATACTTGTATGCTGCGCGCATCACATAGTAATTCTAGGTTAATAACCGGAATAAGAGCACTTGTGTTTTCAAAAACAATATATCATGTCAATAAAGGCCGATCTTTGATCAGGCGAGTGGGGGTGCTCATTGCATGACCTTCCCCTCTCGTACCCAAGTTCCCGAGCCGAGGCAACTTTGGTGATGACGGACACGTGGCCTTAGGCACGAGTCAGGATTTCCTAAATTTTCCAAAAATAAAACATTTAGGTGGCGACTCTGTATCTAGCAAAGCAGTCCATGTTTGGCACTTCTTTATAAAATCAGTTTTCCAAAACGATTTTCCGGATTTGGACTCTTTGGTGATTTATCAATCTCGCATTGCACTTTGTGAGATTAGATTCAGAACCATGACAAAGGTCTGAACTGTGTTAGCTAAAGAACAAAACAATTTCGCGCCCTCGCGGTGCGGAGAGCGGAGTTCTCGGGCGGTCTACAACATCCCCTTTCTCCTCCCAAACAATCATACATATACAATGTACATAAATCATAGTCATATTCAATGACAACCAACAATAGATTAGTTCAATTTACCTAATCCTCATGCAATTTGTACAACAATCATAAATATCCTCCACCAATAGCCTAATACAAATATTTCTAAACAGATATAAAATATTCTCAACAAATACATTATTCAAATTTCCATGGGTGAGAGACAACACGTGTCCAACTTCACTATTTACATCAATAGTCTTCCGATTTCACGTTACCATTATCAATTTCAATTATTTATACAAAATAATAATTGAATCTAATTAGGGCAAAACTCTCCATTTTCCAAATATCAACCCAAGTACCAAAATCAACAATTTTGACACAATATAACGTCATATTCAAACTCCATATCCACTTATTTCACATTCACCAAAAATCCCTCTTTTTATTTCACCCCCCAAACACTAGGTTTGTTCAAACTACTCCCAAATCCCACCATTGTTACACAATGACAAATAACTAAGCTAAAAACCACATGAAAGTGTAAAAAATCCCTACCTCAAAGAGAGAAGATGAGCCAAGCAAGAGTGAAACTTCAAAGATGTCGAAGTCTAACTCTATTTGAATCAAAATGGAGATCTTAAGATGCTCTACCTTTTTATCAAAGGGATTAGGGTGAAGAAATCACTAAAACTAGGTGAAAATGTAGAGAGAGAGTGTGTGTTTTAGAGAGAAAGCGTCTCAACTTTAGGTTTTAGGGAGAAAAGATCTGAAAAAGTGATATAAAAAGTCATTTTCGCGATCTGATATACGCACAGTTCGCTCGAGCGGAAGAGTTGACGCCCGAACGTCAAACACAATAAGTTGTTTTGCTGAGTGCAAGAAAGGCCGCTCGAGCGCCAAGACACAATCGACAAGACACTCACCGCTCGAGCGCAATAAGTGATGCTCAAACGTAGAAAACACACATCCAGTAGTTTTGCAAAAACAAACCAAAGCTCGAGTGCAAGAAAGACCGCTTGATCGTAAAAATCACTCTCCCAGTACTTTTGCAGATCCGTAAAAGTACAGAGCGTTTGCAAAGCCCGCTCGAGTGCAGGAAGTGCCATTCGAGCGGAGGAGTTTTGCAAAAACAGACCAAAGCTCAAGTGCAAGAAAGGCTGCTTGATCATAAAAATCACTCTCCCAGTACTTTTGCAGATCTGTAAAAGTACAGAGTGTTTGCAAAGCCCACTCAAGTGCAGGAAGTGTCATTCGAGCGGAGGACCAAAATTCTAGGCAACACAAGGTTTGAAAAACAAGCGACCAACCTGCCCAAATACAATCACAATAACCCAAAAGCCAATTTCAAATAGATACAAGGAAAGAAAGAGGTAAACAATAATATGAAAACATTAAACCCGAGTCTGGGATACCATAAGAGTCTAGTCAAAACCAGGATAACTATATAAACCTTATGGTCCCATTTAATATTGTGGTATTGTGTATGTTTCAGTTCATGGCAATTTAAATTTTAAAATTAAAATAAAATTTTAATGTTTTAATTAATTAATTTTTGTATAAGTTGGTTGGTCCTTTGACATAGCCGATAGAGTGAACCGTTTTCGGTTTGACTGATTTGCTTGTTTGATTGCGATTTTAGCGATTTTATCAAAATATATTAGTTAAATTTGTTTGATTCGAAATAAATTAAAGATTGACCTAATTGAAGATTAAACGGCTAAGATTACTTGATTCGAAATAACTTCCTACTCAAACAATTGTTAATTTTAAACAATTAAGAAAATCCTCATTAGTTAGCTTTCATTTAACTTTTATTTTATAATCGCACATCGAGAAAAGACGAAAAAAGTGAATTGTTTCACTTACATAAGGTGAATCTTATACTCCCATTGATATAAGCAAAATGAGATTTTTAGTGAGAAGCCTTATGATCGGTATCTCATACTATTTTTTTTTTCTTCTTAATTTTAAACAATTAAGAAAATATCTATTGACTAACTTTCATTTAACTTTTATTTTATATAATATAATTATCATATTTTTATTAAACATTATATTATTTTATCTCATGCATAGCACGGGTGATATGGTAGTATTATATAAGGAAAATGAGGTTTCTAATCCACAAGCCTTGTGGGAGCTCAAAGATCCTAGTCTAAATTTCATAATTTTTTGATTTTTAAAAGTTTAAAAAAAAATCTTCTATTAACTAGCTCTTATTCAAGCAAAAATAAAATAAATAAATAAAAATTAATATCCCTTGATTTATGACTCTCAAATGGAAAGTATATCAAATCTTTAAAAAAAAAAATGAAAAGTATACTAATCAATTTCAAAATTCAAATTTGAGGGTCACTAAATATGGAAAGTAATCTATTAATTTAAATTTAAAATTGACACAATATAAATTTAAACTTATACTGATCTATCCCATGATTTATAAGTTTTAAATATAAATTTAAAATTATCATAATTAGCTCATAATTTTTGCATTTAGGAACAATAGGAGTGACGTTGGGATTCTTTATATATTTTACAAAAGAATGCTTTGAAGAAGAGTTATTACAAGAGTTTCAAAACCTCATACAAAATTTGTATACTATTATAATTGAAAAACGTTGTCGTCTTATCAAAGCTTAAAGTTGCAATTCTTTTTTTTATTTAACTTTTGTTAATATGTGTTGGTTTATAAATTAAATTTATATTCTTAAAATAAAATTTAAAATTTAGATTCTTTCTTAGATTATGTTACCAGAATAATATCAATATTCATTCCTTAATTTATGCATCTTTTATTAAATTATAAAATCAAAATTTAAATTTAAATTCTTTTTTAAATTATGATAATACAATTAGATTAAGATCAATAGTCACATGTGTCATAATATTATTGGTCTAAACATATTATGTCATTAAATACATGTATTCAAATTATTAATCACTATTAAAAGTTTACGTTTTTTTATTTTTTATTTTTTTGGGGTCATTTTTTGTTTTAAATTTTATAAATAAATAAATAAATATATATATATATCCTTCTAAACTACAAGGACTCAAACAATTGTCAAATAAACAAATTAAAATAAAAAATAAATTTTTTTGGTTTAATTAGTTAAGTGACTTCTACTTTAATCAAATAGAAATAAAAGTGATAGTTGGTGAAACTTATATTTTTTCTATTAAAAGTGATAGTTGGTGAAACTTATATTTTTTTATATAATAAAAAAAAGAAAATGGGAAATACATGTGATAATTTATTGCTCTAGTAATGCTACAGACTTACACTTTCACTCACAATGACGTGACAAGGGACTTGAGTACCATGTCATTGAAAGTATAGCAAATCAAGAGTTGACACATATGATATCATATCATTGTGGATAAAATTGTGAAATTTTTTTTGTGGGTCTCAAACATTTTTCATATTGTTCATTTAGACATTTTTAACAGTTGCGAAACATGGTGGATCCTGTTAAATTTTTTTTTTTTTTATCTCAGTTGTCAATTAAACAAACTAAAATTAAAAAAAAAATGAAAAATTTTTTGCTCAAATTGCTAAAAAGTGAGTTTTGCCAAAACAAGTAAAAATAAATGTTATTTTTCTAATAAAAGTGATGGTTTGTGAAATATCTTTTTTATTAAAAAAAAATGAGAGTTATAGGTGGCAATTTATTAGTCATCTATAATTATTTTCAGATCAAATGAGAATGTCATTCTAAATTTTCTTCTTACTTTTTTTATTTTTTATTTTTATATAGATACTTTTATTTTGTAGAAATTTAATTTTATTATATTTAAATACTAGTGGATGCCCGTGTCTGAAGGCACGGTGTAAATAATGTTGGTATTATATACTTTACAAAAATTAATTAAAATAAATCAATTCAAAATTGTAACAATTTCACTGCTACAGAAATCAACTGTAATAAATTAATTCAAAATGACAACAATTTCATTGCAATATAAAACTTTACACATAAGTCGAAATAGCAAATTACAATTTTGGCAAACTTCATAATTAAAGTTTAAATAGCAAATTTATAATATAAAAATGTTGTGTACAATATAAACAAAGATATTTACGCCAAAATAACACATGTACAGTGAATTAAAATGAGGCAACCTTTAATAAAAGAATATGTCTAAATTAATATTATAATTGAGTGAACATTTTGGTACAAAAGAGTAACATCCTAGCTTTAAAAAAATAAAAAATAAAAAAGAAGAAAAATTAATCATCCAATTTAGAATGAAAGAGCCAACCATCAACACGCATGGAAAAACAACACAATCCCAACATTTGTAACGTGGATTAGTCACCTGCAATTAAAAAATCAATTAAAAAAAAATCATAACAGGAACAATCATATCAAAATACCTTTGAAAAACAAATAAACCAATAACAAAGAATTGACAGAAATTAAACATATGATCAAGCACCTTTCAATTTAGTTCTTAAGTCTCTTGATTAGTGTATATCATAACTTGTGAGTTCACCTATTGTTGCTTAATGAATATGAATTGCTGAGTATAACTCTTCTTTCTTTTCCTTTTCCAATTGAGCATAAAGAATTTAACAATTTAGATAATACATGAAAACAAATGAAAATAAATAATTACATCTAATTTGGAATCCAATTACAGGTAGGCTCATGACAAAAAGCTTTGCCCAATTAATTATTATATAACAATTTACTCAAAATTCTCATTATTACTGTTTTTCTTCAATATACTCATCACAGCAAAAGAATGCGTAATGAAAAACCCAATAAAAAAATTTAAATACAAAGATGTTATCTTCTGCAATATTATGGACAATTGCCACTTTTATACACCTAAAATTTGAAGGAAAAAACAAATTTAAAAGTCAAAGTCAAAATATATCACTCTAATTGAGTCCCAAGGATTCACAAAAACAAAAAAAAAAACAATTTATGTTAGTTATGAGAAGAGATCGAACAATTTATGTGTAATGAAGTTTTATATTTAGGTAGTGCCTAATGAAATGATTAAAAGGCTTTTCTAAATTCAACAATTAGAAGGCTTAACCATAAAGTGAAAATTACCACCACCTCAATAAGATAAAAAACTGGAATGATTGATGAGATCGTACTTGAGTGCTCAAAGTTGTGATCTAAAACATTCCCTAAAAAAAACTTGAATGTGGTTTTTTTTTTTTTCTTTTTATAAACTTGGAGTGTCATAGGCATAGGTGGTTTTTTTACGATGAAATGTTGTTCTTTTACAGTGAAATCATGAAACTATCATATTTATACCCAAAAGACAGTATACATTCATTTTACTATTATCTAATACTATTAATTTAACTGAATTGAATCAATCTGACAAAGATATGAGCTATTGCACTTTGTTTTCCTATGCATTTTGTTAGTTTCTTTAGACCAAGAATCAAACCATCTAATTCAAGCAATCAATCAAAACCACACATATGCAGATACCAAACTAATAATATAAAATTTAAGCTAAAGATACATTGTTTTATGTGAATATCAATAACCTACCAATCAATAATACTAAGAACAAATAGAGATTAGATTCCACAATGAACATAGTTAAAATAGAATTTGCAAATCAAATTGAAAGCAGGCTAACAAATAGAAGGCTTCTCTGTTAAACCAACTAATAATGATGAAATTCTAAGCAACCAACTAGAGGATTCTATGTAAATAAGAAGACTTTTGTTAATGAGATTAATAAAAAATTGAACTGGATGGTATTACAAATCCAAATAATTAAGTTACGAAATTCAAAACCAATGAACTGGAAAAAAAAATTTCAAATATTAATCATTAACACAACTTCTATAAGTAAATAAAAACTTGAAATTAAGTCATGAATTTGAATTTGAATAAAAACTTGAAATTAATCATTAATCATGAATTTGAAATCTTAGTAAATAAAAACTCCAACTCAACTTCTATAAGTGTAAAACAAATTAAGTCATGAATTTACCTTTTATATCTATAACTCATGCCTTAACTTGAGATGAAAGTATTACTTTTACTTTGCAGAACAGAGCACCCAACAAACCCATAGTTTATTTGTTTAAGGTTTCAATCTTGTTCTTTGACAAAAAAATATGCTTAAAACATCCCAAAACTGAAAATTAAAAGTAGACCATGAAGATTGAATAACCAAATTTCCAACAATTGGTGAACACAAACACAATTACACCAAGTAAGCATAAACACACATATCTATAAACTTAAATACATACAGAATGAAGAAAA